GGTTGCAATGGGATTCGTGTTTGATTTACTTAGACGATGTCATCGTCTTTAGCAAATCCTTCGAGGAACACCTCCAGAGGTTGCGTGCTGTTTTTCTCAAAATGCGGGCTGCCAATTTGAAATTTAAACCACAGAAGTGCCATTTACTCCGCGAATCGGTGCGATATTTGGGTCACATTGTTGGGCGCTCGGGGATATCCACTGATCCCGCCAAAACGGAATGCGTCAGCTCCTGGCCGACTCCCACCTCTGTGGGAGAGGTCAGGAGTTTCATTGGGTTCGCGTCGTATTATCGGCGATTTGTGGCTGACTTCGCTACGATTGCGAAACCTTTGCATGCCTTGACGTCCAAGGGAGTCAGGTTTCATTGGGGGCCGGAGGAGGAGGCTTCTTTTCGCGCCCTCCGGAATGCTTTGGTGGGGGCGCCGCCGTTGAATTACCCGGATTTTTCACAACCCTTCTTGCTCGATACAGATGCAAGTAACACGGGCATCGGGGGCGTGCTGTCCCAGCTCATTGGGGGCGTAGAGCATGTGGTGGCTTACGGTAGTCGGGTACTGTCTCCAGCCGAACAGCGGTACTGCGTTACCCGTCGGGAATTATTGGCGATTGTTTATTTCATTCAGCAGTACCGCCCGTATCTGTACGGTCGGCGGTTCACCGTCCGTACAGATCATGCGGCCCTACAATACGCCCTGCGGGTTCAACAACCATCGGGCCAGTTGTCTCGATGGTTGGAGATTCTCCAAGACTATGACTTTGTCACCACATATCGTAAGGGTCTCCGCCACACGAACGCTGACGCCCTGTCGCGATTGCCACCCACTTCGGAGTGCGCGTGCCTCTTGGGTTCGGGGCGTTGTAGGTCTCCGAACGTCACCACCGATTCGGTCCTCGTGGCCGCTGCCGATGCACCTTCGGTTTCGGGTCCTATCGAGCAAGAAGGGAGGGATTCGTTGCTGGGGTTGTCAGTCGCGGAATGGGGTCGCCTCCAAATGGAGGACACCTCCCTCCTCGCTCTGCGCCGTCGCGCCGGGGGGATTGGCCAGGGGGTGGAAAACGTTGACTCGTGGGGGTTGTTCCAGGGACTTTTGATGCACTGGAATGGTAAAACCCGGCGCCAGCGGCTCGTGGTGCCTGCTGCTTTAAGGGGTAAGGTGGTATGGGCTGTTCATGAGCGGCTTCTGCACTTGGGGGTTCATAAGACCTTTGCCACGCTCCAGCTAGATTTCTTCTGGCCGGGCATGGAAAAGGACGTGGGGGACCTCTTGGGGTCGTGCACGCAATGCGCGCAGAGGAAGCCACCTGCTAGGGGATCCAACCCTCCGCTGCAGTCCATAAAAGTTTCCAGGGTTAACGAGCTCGTCGCTCTGGACATACTTGGCCCATTTCCCGCTACACCCAGGGGCAATAGGTATTTACTAACGGGGGTTGAATACTTCACGAGATGGCCTATGGCCTGGCCCCTGGCGAACCAATCGGCAGCAGCCATCGCGGAGGCCTTTGTCCAGGGCTATGTCCTCGACAAGGGTGCTCCGGAACGGCTGCTTACTGACCAGGGTAGGAATTTTTCTGGTAAACTCCTACGTGAGGTGTGCGACCTCTTGGGTACGGAGAAGGTTCGGACCTCTCCGTATCACCCACAAACTGACGGGATGGTGGAACGGCTGCATCGGACCATCACGTCCATGCTGTCCCAGCAGGTGTCGGTATCCCAGACGGATTGGGACCTCCGCATAGCCGGTGTGTTGCAGGCCTACAGAATGGCTCCCCATGCGGCCACCGGATTTTCCCCTTTCTTTTTAATGTATGGGCGCGAAGTTAACCCTCCTGTGGCGACCCAGCTGAAGCTCTCGGCGCTCCAGGCGAAGTCTAAGTTGTCCGAACACGTTAAATTTAACATCGCTCAATTGTCTGAGGCGCGGGAAGCGGCCGTGCAAAATTCTGAACTCCGCCAGAAGGCGAACGAGAGGCTTCGGTTGGGGCGGGTGCAGGTGGTCAAATGGGTACCAGGGGACAGGGCGTGGTTGCACTGTCCTCAGGTGCCGCTGGCAACCTCGTCGAAATTGGTACGGCCGTGGCGGGGGCCAGTGGAGGTCGTGCAGGTTTTGCGGCCGCAATGTGTTCGCGTCAAATGGGGGAGGCGCCGGTGGTATGTGCACCCCTCAAGGTTAAAACCATTCGTCACGCCGCCCCGGGGTTCACACACACACACGCATGGCCAAACGTGTGAGGGTGTCGCCGACTCCCCGTCGTCGCTGCACTCGCCTAACCTGACGCCAACTGTTCCGCCCCCAGGTGAAACAGGAGTGACGGGCCCACGCCCACCAACCCCTCCCGGAGGGGTCGGGGGTCACTCGGCAGCGGAGCCTGACCCTCTTGCACCCGGACCGTCAACAACCGTCACTGAGCGTGCCGGGACGGACCCTTGTGACGGACCCGCCGCGAGAACGCGCGCCAAAACGCGCAGACTTTTGTGAGGTCGGCCGTTGGGGGGCCTTGCGGACAAAAGGGGAGGGGTGTTGTGAGGTCGGCCGTTGGGGGGCCTTGCGGACGATGGGAAAGGTGACGTCCAGAGTGTATATATATGTTGGTTTTGGGGTGTTATCCGGGGGGGGTGCGTCGGGTTATTTTTTTTTCTCTCTCTCTCTCTTCCTCTCGTTGTTCTTGTTCTTGTTAAAAATTACGCGAGGCACACACGGGGTTTTTGTGAGGGATGCACCTTTATTCTGATTTTTTTTTGCAGCCGGGGACGGCTGCGAGCTGTACAGGGGGGGGTGATGTAGAGGTGTAATTGCGCATGTCTACGAATGTTGAGGTGTGATTATGCATGGCCACGGATGGCCAACAAACACAAGGGGCGGGGTTACGGCCGTACACAAGGGTGGCGCTCGCACCGACGTCCGCATGTGTATCCCCCACGGGCCCCCCCCTTGGGGGCAAGTCCTATAAAAGGTGATGAGCCGAAAGGCTCGGGAGTCGGGACTCAGCTATAACCAGAGAAGACGGAAGACCAGCTAGTGTAGGCCCCAGAGCTCCCCTGGCTCGCTGTCCTTATAAGGGCCGACCAGGGCAAGCCGGTGGCGTGGCCCCGAGAGCCCAGACGAAGCTGGTCTGGTGACTCAGGGAGCCGGGATCCCAGCTTAACCAAGCTGGGACAGATAGCCTCCCCTAGTCCCGTAGTGGAGGAATTGGTATAGGTTAGAGGGGTTAGCTGTCGAGAAATCCCTGTAGCCCAGTGACCTGTAAATAACTGTGTTGGTGTAATAAATAAGTGTGCCTCCGATCCTGTCGTCAAGCCTCCATATACTTACTACATATATACAAATACGGGTTTCTTGGAATTTCTCTCACTTGATACCACTATCGTGCTGTGACTGTTCCACCTGAAGACGGAAGCTCGTGTTGCCTCCGAAACGTCGTGATTTTTATTTTATCTCTTATTAATTTTTTTTTTTTACCTACGTGACTTTACCGAAAAAACCTAAGAATATGAATCCTTGCAGTCACGAACGCTTCAAATCTAGAACTCATCAATTGGCCAATCACAACATGCTACATAGAGGACTGCAGAGCTTGGGCAATTGTTGGTTCCGGCTCACTGCGTGGCCGCCTTACTGATGGTGGTTCCTCCTCGTACCTCTGAGGTAGTTCTCTCTCTCTCTCTCAGAGAGTGAGCGAATATTGTGCGGCGCATCACAAGTTGAAGTTATAATTCTACTGATGTAGTGTGTGCCTCGGAAGTGCGGTTGGTGGATTACACAGGGATGGGGTCTGCACGAGACCGCCCATCTGCAGGGCAACGGGGTCACGATCAGAGGCGTTTGGGCATCATCTCGCCGTGTGTCGGGGCTTTCCTCCTAAAACGATGATTTTCTTTGCCAGATAAAGAAAGTGGCCGTGCATCGTACATCTCGAACCTCGTGAAAAACGTCACAGATCTCCCAGGAAGCTGCCCTTGGTTCACCTGACCGTTACTTCCACGGTCATCAGCAGGGTACCCTTATAGATCCAGTTCCTTTGGGTTGAGTGCCATGTATTAAACCCTGTGAGAGCCCATCCAGATTGATGATTTATTCTACCGGAGGAAGGTTTGGAGACCGCAGTGATGCAGGGACATTGAGAGGCGTTGAGAAGTTGCAATCCGCGTGCTCATCTGACACCCATCAAGGACGTGTCTTATGGGAGCTGCACAGGATTAATCGGAATTCCAGATTTTGTGTAAATCCATAGAGTTACAAAACCACCCAAGTGACAAATTTGACTGGATTTAGAAAAAGAAAATCCAAGCTTCATTCAGTTCTATTTTTGCGTGTGCTGGCAGCAGGAATGTGGCTCAGGAGCTCGACGCCCAACGTCGAGGTCTGCTGGCCACGGCGAGAGGGCTTTAGGAGAGCGAGTTCGTGTTGTTTTGCTGTTCCTCTTTCTCCGTTAAATGGGTGCAGACTACAGTGGTTTACGATACGGTGCATAGTTTGGGTTGTATGGCCACAATCGCACTACCGCGGCTTGCCTTTCATTTTTGATTCATGAAGGAGATGTGGGCATCGCCCTGTTTTTGATGAGGCTGATGGTACTATTATAATTATTTATCGCGCAGAATGAGATGACCTAGACGATTCGCGACACTCTGACAGTTGGGGCCCTCAACACTGAACTGGGCACCCTCGGTGCTGGAGACCCCATCAGCCGGATCGAGCTCGACGGGACGTAAGACCCGGCAGCGGCCAGGGTGCCGAGTGTTCAAACGAGCGCGACGCTCGCTGCAGCCAAGCCTCCGCTGCACGGACGCGGCCGTGCGTCCTGCGACGCGGCCCGGAGCGGCCCTCGACACCGGCGCCACCGGCATGGTCGTCCGCGGTGCCGCTCTCCCGGCTCGGTCACAGCGGGGGGGGGGGGGGGGGGGGGGCGGCCTCGCGACGTTAGGCGGCGATCCGCGCCGTGCCCCTGTGCCGCCCCAGGTGCGGGGAGGTGCAGGGAGTTGCAGGGGGATCACTCACGGTGGATGCTGCTGAGTGCTGCTTGTGGTTGCGCCTCCTCCTCCTTCTCATCGGGCTTGGGGCTCGCCCAGGTGCAGCCGGAGAGGAGCAGCGCAGCGAGCAGCAGCTGCGAGACACGTAAGTACGTATGCATGGTGAACTTTTTTCGCACCGTACGTAGCCAACCGTGCTAATCGGAGGCGCACGAAGACTCGCCCCTCCGCCCGACTCGCCCGGAGAAGCCCAGCCGTGCGAGGGGCGAACACTCGGCAGTCGACTCCAACAGACGGGACAGGTGGAGTCCACATTGCTACTGTGCTGTCTCTCCTGGCCAGCCAGGTGGGTGGCACCTCCTCGACCCACCAACCCTGGCCGCTGCCTCCACAGCGCTGGGTCACAGGCAGCAGCCACGTGCAGCATGGCCACGAGCGCTTGGTGACACTGCGTGGAGACTCACACCGCCACAGTCGAGCGGGCACGTCGCTGGCGATTACATGGCATGCAGCGTTACCTCTTCACGCTACGATTAGAGGGTTTGCGAGCGAGTGGAAGGTGTGCGCCCGGAGAGAGCGCACGAGCGGGCACCTCAATAACATCAATTCCCAAGGGAGGTGCGGTGGACCTGAAATGCCCATCTTTTAAAATAAGGCCCTACAATAATAGTAATGAAACCGTTCAAAGTATTTACTTTGATAGATATCAATAAAATACCGATGTGTGGGTCCTGAGGAGGAAGGGGGGCGATTGCCCACATCACCCCCCCCCTGCACTGCTGGATTCACATTGTCGATGCAGGAGAATGAGGCTTTAGTTAACGAGTCACCTTGGTGAAGTCACAGTGAGGAGCAGCCATTAGTTAACACAGATGAATTCGCTCATTAGGGCAAAATGAAACGTAAATTGCCCGTGGAAGCGCAGCAATAGGGTTTAAATATATATTTATGAACAGATGAGAGCCCATAGATTTCCATTATATTTTTTGGCAGAGGGAAGAGAGTGATCATCAAGTGGCATTGGCCGTGAAGATTTTAATTGATCCGATGTGTTTTTTTTTAAGTATCCGTGTAACTGGAGCTATGTAGACAACATTGTCCGTGGTGTTCTGTGGGTAATTTTAGAAAATGGAATTGGGCCTGGTGGGTGAGCCATCGGTATTGTTTTGCAATTCCAGTAAGTGCATGAGAGGAACCCGGTTAACACCGGTTAATACTCGTTAGTACCGGTTTCCCGCACGAATAGAAACGTCTCGAGCAGTAAGCACGACACGTGTCGCTTTTAACACATTCCTGCGGAGGGAGCTGGTAGGAACGTTGGGTTGCTCGGTCAATGGCCAGGGTCAACGGCGGCGTGGTGTATTCCGCAAATATGCCCGACTGTGAGGGCGGGCACAAGCCGGCGTGAGTAGGTTAAACGTTGAGTTTTATAAGGGCACCACGGGGTGTCACAATATACTTGCAATCCCAATACGCCGGTTCGATTCCACCTCCGAGTAGAGCAGTCGAAACGATGCTGAAAGTTTCCCAATTCCCCACCCCTCCCGAACCGTCTCTGCCCACATTTTGTTTATCGGCCGGTCGTGTGTGGTGGGGTATAATGTGGGTACGCGCACCTCTTCCAAAAAGTCTGATCAGTGTGGAAGAGGAGACCACAGTCCACTCTAGAGCTCCCTGTCGCGGAGGCGCTTTTGCGAGCATTGTCATGCGCAAGGAATTGCAGGGCTGCACCTTTTATTTTCCAACATAGTATCTTTCCCGTAGGCCTGCTGCCATTCGGTTTGTTCATTCGCTCCTGCATATCAGTGCGTTCATAGGGATCACAGTGTCAGCAGCCTGCAATAACGCCCAACGCAAAGCCACCACCAGATCTGGTTACAACTCAATTCCCGCTCCGAACACCGGTGCACCGGCTCCCGGACAGTCCCACGTCAATCCGGGACAGCTGGCAACCGTGGATGGTGTCCAACCCCGCCGACCCCGAATGGACGATGATCGGTGGTGAGAGAGATAGAGAGCTTAGACGCTGGGGAGACATGCCATCGGGTCTTTAACTTCCACTTCTACGGCAGACTGCAGGCGTTGGTGAGTCTTCAGAGACAGTGCCGGATGTCTGGAGGGAAATGAGTTGTTGGCGTCAAGCCAGGCGGCTCGGTGAGGAGCTGTCTGACTAGAACACTGCGTGCCAAATTCACATTAAAATTTAATACACCCAAACAGCATCTATTGCACATATCCACTTAAAAATAAATATATTTAGACTGCAGTACCAGCCTTGAAGACTTGTATTAACCATCAGCATATATTTATTTGGGTTTATTTATTTTCTATATAATATGAACCCAGCGGCATTGCTTTACTTCTATTCATAGTCTCAAATTACCCACAAGCTTCCCACGCAAGCGCATGGCGAGGAATGAGTTTGTGTCCGCGTCGGAATGAGTTTGACTGCACCCACACCACGCGTCGCTTCTCCGCCCCAGCCCACGCGCCACTGACGCGCCGCGCTGTGATGTTTGCACATTGTGGACGAGTCAGCGAATTAGTGCCGGCGGTGCGTATCTCCCATTGAAATATAGATCTTTGAGCCAGGGGTGTAAATTCCACATTTCTATTCGGGGGGCGGGTAGACAAGTCTATCCATATGACAACAGCTGTTGACCCCCCCCCCCCCGCAAAGTGGTACTCATTTTATTGACCACGGAAGAACGCAGATGGGCTGAGTCTACGTCTTATGGGGATTGAACTTAAAACCTTGCAGTTTCGAGCCAGTCGCTCCTCCGCTGAGCTACTTGGCCAGGGTGGCTACGTGGGGTCTGCCAAGATTGCGATGCAGGAGGATCGTGATGAATGCCAAATTCACACCGTGGGTAAAATTGCTCTGCCCACACGCGCGCCCGCATCCAGCCATGTTCACCATCTGCATCCGCAGCATCATTCCCCCTCAATGTAACGGCCCACTCAGCAGGAACAAGCCCTCCGTGGGAGTTTGAACGCTGCGACGGCCAACGAGCGAGCGCCACGGATGCGGCAAAGCCTTGCTCTGGCGCGGAAGCACCGGCCACGTGGTGCGTTATACTTCAGCGTGAGGGGCCTGCGAGAGAGTGGATGTGACCGGCGATAATGAATTCTACCTTCGCGTGTGCTGCTGCTGCGGCAGTGCTGCCGTGACTCTCTGATGTGTGTTGGGGGTGGTTGTGGAATCTCCTGCAAATTAAAAACAGCCAAGGGAATTTGCAAGCAGTGGGCGTGCGTGCATGTGTGTGTGTGTGCGGCGTGCAAGCTAATGCGGCATCTCCCGCGAGCACAGCTTCACAACCTTGGGCCATGCACATCGAGTGGCAACGAGCATATCGGGTTACCACCTGCCCGGTTTTGACCCGGACGGTCCGCGGGGTTGGCGTCCGTGTGTCGGGTCTCGGGGCACTGATTTATACCCAGGTCTGGTACCGATGATGCCGTGTTCAACTTGATTACAGCAACTGCACGGTTAGGATAATAGATCCGGTGCTGAGAAACACGTGCGGGTTTGCTCTGGGGAAAAGGTCATACTTGTTGTATCTGTACCTTATGTGAATCTGCCCTAGGTCAACTCAGCCTAGGATGTTATTCTTGATGTAGTGGCGGTGGCATGATGAGCATCAGGGCTGGGGTACCAAGGTGGCTGGCACACTGCCCTCCCGCAGACAGCACTCTCTACAATAGGCGCTCGCCAACAGCACTTGCTTCAAGCTGCCGTAGCAGGATGGAGGGGGTGGGGGAGGTGCGTCTCGATCTCAGGGTGCGTCACGGCTAGCAGGGACGATGGCCAAGGTTAGTGATGGAGTGGCAGCCAAGGAGTGGAATGTGCCTGAGAGCACGTGACCGAGGAGATGGAGCCATAAGAGCGGGTCTTGTGCAGGTGGCTGGGTGGATTGTTGCATCGCGCGATGGTAAGAAATGGCGATGGCTTCAGAATGAGAATATTATTTAAGCTGCAGGAGGAATCCGATGAGCTATAAAGCTCTTTTTTTCCGGAAGATGTCCAGAATGGGCGGGTCAGCAATTGAGGAGGCCTTCATCCAGCAGTGGATTGAAAATGGCTGATCATAATGATACGTTATGCGGGTCCACACAACCAATGCGGCCACGGGAGACACCGGAATTCTCCACCATGTAATAATACATGATTTTACAAATAGACCTGTGACCGTGAATCGAGGCGATTCGTCAAATCTCCAGGTGAATGGTTCCACCACTCGGTGAAGGAAATATCCAGCCGCTGCACACACATCCGCGGCCTGGTCAATTCTTTCGGCTCAAATGGCAACAACATAAATGTTGGAGACGTGAGGTTGGCACTTTACGCCGAGCGAGCACGGGAGTGGTTGTACCGCGCGGCCCGGCCGCCTCACTGCCACCACAGTGACCACCAAAGATAAATATTCCCCGTGTAGCCTTAACAGACTGTTGGGAAAAGTGCTGTTAGCGAGCACCTGTGAAGGCTGGCACGGCACACGATGAGGTGGGTGGCCAGCATCACGCCTGGCCGCCTTTGTCTCCCTAGTTGCTATGTTTCTACACCGCACCAGGTATTCATTTGAGGCTGAGCCGACCTTCGGGGAGTCCCTGCACCGGTTCAGATAATCGTTGCTGGCGATGTTCGTGAGCGGGAATCAGACCCGGGTCGTGACCACCACCACCATCATCAGAGAACTCCGCTCTCGCCACGATGAGTCGATAATGGGGGAGCTGGAGCGGTGTGAAGGGCAGTGGTGGAAATGGGCCGGAACGCCGTGGTGGGAGTGACAATTTGAACCCTGCGACAGCGTTCCGAAAGGAATCAAGGATTTATCTTTTTTTTATATATATGTAATTTGGCTCACAGATACGTGTGCTAGACTAGCAGAGAGACCCACAGACACGCACAGAAACCCACAGACAAGCATAGAGACGCACACACGTAGTGATTTTCCTCCTCAAATGTGGTGGGGGTTGGGGGGAATAATTGATGAGTTCCACCAGTAATGTATTCCCAATACCAGCCCTGTAAAGGGACCGTTACTCTGAGCAACAATGCAGGTGCGCTCTCCTGTCAAACGCATTCCCTCTCGCGCACGGGAATGTTTGTCGTCTCGCTCGGGCTCGCAAGTCA